CAGACACCATGCGAAGTTTGTTTCCTTCGGTACTAGTCTTCCAGCACTCAGAAAAAGCAAGCCTTTTCCATCTGCAGCCTCATGTTACCATCACAGCAGCCCAGAGTGGTTGACAGGATCCCACCATACAGCCGAGACAGGCACACAAATAAAGAGGCTTTCTCCAAATGACAGGGCCCCAGGCCTCTTCCCAAGAGATGAGATTGCTCAGGATTTCTTGGACTTGCTCCTCAGGCTGTTGTGTAAGCCTCCCACGTGATGCTTTTTCTTTTTAGATGTGATGACCAGAGAGGGCAGGGGAACTTCCAGTCAGCCCTGCTCAGTGAACCCCAGCCCTGATCGAAGCTCCTGGCCTAGAGTGGCCTCCCGAGAGGGGGCGGCTCTGGTGGGAGTGGGAGCCCTTGATGATAGCTGGAGATCTGTGTTCGGCACTGGTCTCCACATTCCAGGAGCCAGCAGCTCCGAGTGTCTGGGCCTTTCTGCCCTTCACAGCTCCTCCCCCATCCCCTCTACCTGCCCCTTCATTCCTGTGATTGATCCATAAATGGAAATGCTGGTTTGAGGAAAGGACAGACTTGTCCACATCTTGAGGAAAAAAATGGGAACCTTAAGTCAAACTGGAGCAGCAGGGACAATGACCTGACACACACAAGAGCCGTTTTCTCTCAGCAGTGGCAGCTTTGACCGCCAGGGAGATTGAGAAAGGCTGAGTAGCATGTGGCCTAGAATTCTCAGTGGGAGTCAGGGCCCTCTGAACCAGATGATCCAGGGGGAAATGGCTCAGAGAACCCAACCCCTCATGCCATCACTGCTGCTTACCCCCTGCTCCCCCACCTCCGTCTCGCCTGCCCCTTCCATCCTGCCTCACCGAGCACTCCCTGTTCTATTTCCTGTGATTGCCCAGGGAGCAGCCACGTGACTCCATTTGGTGCCTCTCCTCTGGCACCTGCCAGTCAGCCCAACAGCCTCGCAGATATGGGCAGCCTCCTGGGGCCCGGAGTACCAGCTGCAGGTGTTCCTAGCAGGTAGGTCCAGACCTCACAGAGTCTTAGGGAGAGCCTTGTTTTTCCCAGCCTGCTTTGCTCCTCCCGTTGGGCAGGACAGGGTTTGCCATCTCCCGGTCCCTTGCCCAGCTTCTGTCCTTGGTCCTGGGTGCCCTGCATGCTGACTTGTCTCCCCATGTCACAGCATCTTCGGGGTGGCCGGCCAGGTCCCCGCGCTCCAGTCGGCCACAGCTGGTGGAAGCAGCGGCACAGGGCTTGCCTTTGGAGGTGAGTCTTGCCTGAGGGGACCCAGAAAAGGGATCCAAGGCTGAGAGGAAACAGGGAGGAGGGTGGAGAGAGAGCACACCAGATTTAGATGAGTGCTGTCATCTCAGTAGTAACCAAATGAGAAGAGTGACCCTCTCTTTCTCCCACCTCTACTCCATGCCACCCTGAGCAGCCTCCACCAACCCTTTCACAGCGCCTGCTGCTCACCCCCAGCTGCCTCCCACCAACCCGTTCCAGCCCGATGGCCTGGCCGCAGGTAAGCCCCAGGACTGTGCTGGCCCTGGCTCTCCTGGGCTTGGATTCCTCTCTCCCTTCTCTCTCTCTCTCTCTGTCTCTCTCTCTCTGTCTCTGTCTGTCTGTCTGTCTCTCTCTCTCTCTCTCACACACACACACACGCGTGTGCGCGCACGCATGCACGCACCCCACTGTTGGGAGGAGTGGAGCAGCCTCACTAGGCAGCTGTGGTAGTCCTGAAAGTCCCCCTCTTGCCCTTCGCCAGGCCAGACCCCGTGTAATTTCCAGGCCACCTAGTGGGCAAAGAGCAGAAGCACCCAAGTCCCAGAATATATTTCAGAAAACAGAATCCTCCTTACCTGAGCTAGTTCTGAAGGTTTAATGACAGATGTGGCAGCCACTCTCCTTTCCTGCCCCTGGGCAGTGTCCCGCCAGGCCCCCAGCCTCTCTCCCTCCTGTGTCCCACCTGCAACCTTGCCCCTGGTCCCGGCTCCTGTCAGCTAGTGCATCCCGCATTCCTCCCCAGCCTCAGCTTTTCTCTCTTCCAAGGCCTGCTCACCCCACCACCTGCCTTTTTGTTGTTGTCATAGCTGTTCTCAAAATCCTTTAGGCCAGGAAGACAGACTGATAACGGCTAGCAAGCTGCCCACTGCTGAGTGCTTTACACCCGTTATTTGCTTTCCACAGCAGCCCTAGGAGAGAGGAGGACTCCAGTTTTATAGTTGAGAGAACTGAGGCACACAGAGGGCTAATCATTTGCTTTAGTTGATGCAGTTTGACAGGTAGCAGAAAGCTGCCCCTGGTTCTGTGCCCCACCTGTGCCCTCCATGCCACAAGCTGTGGGTACAGGAAGAAGGCAGGTTTTGCCAGGTTGCATGGAAGTGGAAGGTTTCAGTCAGAGTACTTCTGCGGGGTACCTCTGGTTAAGGAATAACTATATCCCATGGCCCCAATTTGGAGAGATTTAAGAAGAACTGTTCTCCAGCCTGCCTTCCAGAACTTCGCATGAACTTCATGTCCCTCGTTCCACAGGGCCCAGCTTTGGGATGAGCAGTGCTGGGCCTGGCTTCCCCCAGACAGTGCCACCCACCAGGGCCTTTGTCAGCACCTTCCCACCACCGCTGTTCCCCCCACAGACCTCGATGACTCAGCAACAGAATGGTAAGGGATTCAGACCATACCCTCCTCTCTTGCCCCCATTCCCCACCCCCAGGGGTGGGGTTGGGGGGGGGGGTGGCAATGAATATTAGGGATATTTGGGAGCCAGACATCTGAGCTAGTTCCCTTTTGGACCATTAGGGGGACCAGAGAAGCCACAGACCTTCCTGTGTCCTCTGACTGCTCTGTACCCTTATTCCCTGACTTTAGAAAGGCCCAGTCTTTTTTTTTTTTTTTAATGTTTATTTTTGAGAGAGAGAGAGAGCACAGGCAGGGGAGAGGCAGAGAGAGAGGGAGAGAGAGAGAGAATCCTAAGCAGGATCCTCACTGTCAGTGTAAAACCCAGTGCGGGGCTTGAACCCACGAACTATGAGACCACGACACAAGCCGAAGTTGCATGCTCAACCAACTGAGCCACCCAGGTGCCCCTAGAAAGCCCCAGTTCTGCTGCCACTGTGTGATGTAAAGGTGCCCACCCAGCAGGGAGGCCGGATGCGCCTGGTCAGCACCAACGTGAGGGGCAGGGTTTATGGCAGCCTAGTTTTTACTCTTGCTTCCCAGGCTCTTCCTTCAGTGACTTAGGATCAGCCAAACTGGGGCAGAGGCAACTCAGCCAGCCATCTGGGACATCCACCAACCCCTTCATGGTGAGTGCCAGCACGGCCTCAGTGTAGAGTATGGCCTCTCTCTGAGGGCCGGGGACAGAATCCTTCTGGAACAGAGCAGTGTGGGATGGAAACCCTGCCTTGGCCAGGCAGGAGAATGGGTTAGTCAGTGGGCTCACACCCCCTCATGTCCAACTCGCCTCCACTCACTGACTTGCCCACAACCCTCACCACAGTAATTCTGGGGAGAAAGGAATCCTGGGCTGCATCTTTTCTGTGGCCTCCGGCTTTTCTCCCCTAATCCTCTAACTTGTGGTTGTTGTTTCTTTCCAGACTGGATCCTCATCAAGCCCGTTTGCCTCCAAACCTCCAACCACCAACCCATTTTTGTAGCACTGTGTCCTGGGGGGGGGCCTCCTCCCTGCCCTCTGGGGCCCCTTTACTCCCAGGAGCTCTGGTGACCATTTGCCTGTGGCATTTTTGTGGGTCTGAGACCAGAATGGGCCTTGTTTTGTAGGGAAGGGGTCTTGGGGATGGTGGAAGTGCTAATGCTTTGCTTGGGGCTTGCAGATAAAAGGGCAGCTGCCCATCAGGTGCCCCCAGGGCTTCCTCCCATCCTCCCTCCAGCCCCAATCCAGGCAGGAGGCCCAAGAAAAGAGAAGTCAGGGCTTAGCCTAGAGGAGCGATGGCGTTTGATTTCTCAAATTATTAATTATGATGACAATAATCCTCCTGTCTTGCCCTCAGCATACATAGTGGTCCCTTCACTCCCAACCCTGTGGGCGAAGGAAGCTGTGGGCACAGACTGACCAACATACCCCTATGGGAGCAAGCCTTCCCCTGTGTCCACAACATCCGTGCTGGTCTCCTTGTGGACAGAAGCACAGTGGGAAAAGTAGGGTCAAGGTGGAGATGAGGCGTGGTGTTGACCTGGGATGGTGATCAGACAGGCTGAGAAAGCTGTGGGTGGGGGTGGAGGTGGGTGGGGGGCAGCTCAGCCTCTTCTCCCCACCCCCACGGGGCAAGGAGGCCCTCCATGTTTTTGCTTTCCTGGCTCCCTCCCTCATCCTGGTATTCAGGATAAATAGTTTTACCTACATACTTAGACATGCCCAATTCCTGTCAAGCACTTTAGTTAGCTGTGGTGTCATGTTTGGATACCAGTGTTTTATATTTATACATAGAGAATTTTCTAATATAGTCTATTATACACACACAGACACACACACACACACACACACACACACACCGCCATTCTGCTCCCAGACAGCTCTTTTACATGGGGAATGGAATGAATCCCCATCTGTGCCTCGACCAGCAGAGCCGGAGCTCCAGAGGGTGGTGGGAGGGTAGTCACAAGTCCTGACCACCCCAGAGCCTGGGCTTTTCCAGGGAAAGGCTTTGTGCAATTGGCTGGGTTTTTTCCTTTCTTTTTCCCATGTGCCTCCCCCACCCCACCACAAAATTCTCGGCACCAAAGCTGTTGCAGGCAATGTTGGAAAAGAACTGCATTTGAAAGAAAAAGGAAATGGCTCTAGCTGTCTTGCTTTGGCTCAGTTTGAGGGGCCCCAACGTGGCTGCTGGGTCAGTGAAGATGATGGCTGCTGTTGGGCAGGGACTAGAATTCCTTTCTGGACATGGCTGGAGTCCCCGTGTGCAGTGGGAGTTAGGTGGCTGCAGGGAGGGGGTGATGGGGGTGGGGGGGTGCCAGTGGACAGAGGAGGAAGTGCCAGCATGGAGACAGTCTCATCCGAGTAGACCCGGTAGACCAGTGGACTACTCCCAGGTCGGTGCATCCTCAGCCCCTCTCCAGACTGTTTTCACCTGAGGATGTTATGTCAACAGCCATGGTGTCTCTGCTGTTTGTGTGGTGACAAGGTAGCCAGCGTGGGTTAAACACCTCATGTGGCAGAGGAGAGGCCCAGCCCTCAGCCTTGCTGTCAAGAGAGGTTCCTCCCTTTTCCACATTGCACAGGGACTCTGGCCCTGCAGCTGTTCATTCTTGGGATTCACTGGATCTTTCTACCCAATGTCCTTTAACAGCAGAACAGCAAGGAGAGATGGAGACTGTGTTGTCACTTTATTTACTTTGAGGACTTTTCTGGAAATATTTCCAGCTGCTGCTATTCACCCAGCCAGGCATGGCCTCCCCACCTTTGCAAGGCTCAGAACCCATCCTGTCTTGGGTCTGTGTTCCCACTCCCCAGCCCCTTCTCTCCTTCCATTGCCTGGTGGCTCTCCCAGCGTGGACCACCATCCCTTTTCCCTGGGTTTTTCATGTTCTGTCCCCTTCTCCCAGGTTTTCCTCTGTCCCCCTTGATTACCCCTCTGTCCCTGTCCTTGTTTTCCATTTTCTCTGCTTAGAACCAGGAAGGGAGGAAGCTGGTCTGTTGCATGGTAGGAGGAGGAGCCTTTTCTTATTTTTCCCCAGCCACCCCCAACCCCCTTTCCTAACCAAAAGCACTGAGGTTTGGAGGTGACATTGAAAGGGCCTGTGCTGTTTCAGTCACACTCCTATAGTTTCTCAAGGGTCTCCTTACTGCCTGGTGCCTGGGCCCCAGGACCTCCCTGCAGTCCCCCTCCCCACATCCCGGGCACTCTGTCCAACATGGACTCCAGCCAGCTCACTGGCCACGGCAGGGTGACCAATCAGAGAAGTTACACTGGGTCAGCCTTCAACCCCAGGACAGAACACTCGAGTTCCCTGGGCACAGGCCAAGACTAGGACTGCAGCTGCCTCTCTTGGCGCAGAGCAGCCACAGTGCTGCCTCCGTGGGGCCTCCTGTGTCCAGGCGAGCAGCAAAGAATGGAAAAATCCCTGGCCTAACAGAAAATGTCTAAATGACTGGGCTGTGTTCCTCCTACCTCACCCCCCCAGGACACACTCACACGGCCCTGCCTGGGGGGTTACAAATCTGAACCCCATTCATTGCAGGCACACCATGGAGCTCACCCAGGCTCCCACCGGGCTTCTGACCAAGTCCTCATGTCCCTCTGGCCAGTGCTGTGATCACACTCTGCAGACAACAGTCCTCTGGCTTGGCCCCAGCCTTCAGCAGGTCACACGCCCCTGTGGGTGAGGAAGCAGGAGCCAGTCCCCAGGATGGCTGTGAAAACTCCATTCCTTCCAGACTGGAGCTTGGGAGCCATGGTGAGGGAAGGCTGAAGGCAGGAGATGGCGGTGTCCCTGCATCCCTCCTCCACAGAGGGGGAAGAACTCCAGATGGGGGAGAAAGGGGCTGATAGGAACAGCCCAGCCTTAGGACCCCATTCTCCTTGTAGGCTCCTCTCGCTGGTAACAAGATTCTTCCACAGGGATTTAGAATGTGGAGATCCCATCCTGCCGCTACCCTGCACCCAGCAGAGGGATGCACAGGTAGACCCCTCAGGTTGGGAGAGGTGTTCTCACCCAGCGGGGTTGAGGTTCTGCCACTTCCTGTCCCTGGGGAGCAAGTGGAGTTACCAGGGCAACAGGCTAACAAGATCTTGTCTGGGGAGGGCCAAGGGCAATGTTGTTGCTAAGGCAACTGATTAGGCCAGTTGTTTGGCTCCAGGCTTTTCCTGGTAGCCAGCAGGCTAAATCACCTGGCACTGATTACCACCCCACACCATCACCGTTGCCCAGAACCCAGGTACTCAAATCCCTGCTGCTTTCTGCTCTATCTGTACCCAGCACTTAGGGGTTCAGTGACACACGGTGGTCTGGAGCTGGTCTCTGTGACAGCAGCTGTGAGTTCACAAGGACTGGGGTGCTTCACGGTGGCCTGGTTGATGCGGAGTGGAAGGAGTAGGGATGAAGAGGCCCTCTGTGGAGAGCTTGAAATCAAGCCTGGAGAGTAAGGCTCCACGCCAGGAGCACAGCAAGTCCGTAGGCCCTATGGGTGCCCTGTTCCTCAAAGCAGCACTGGGAGGGGGAGGGACCTGCAGATCTCTTTTGTGTCCTTGCTACTTTGCACCTGGTACATGTGTCAAGGCCACACTGGAGACAATGGCTTTGAGCACAATTCTGTTTGGGGGGCCACTTATGGAGCCATCACATACCTGCCTCTCCCTGACCAATACCCACCAAAAGTAGTGGCTGCCACTGGCCCCAGTGCTCACATGCTCTCTGCACCTCTCCTGCACTTGGGGGGCGGGGGGGAGGTATGGCTGAGCCAGAGGCTCAGGGGGGACCTGGGCACCACCTGCCTCTAGCCAGATGCCCATCCTCATGATGACGGTTGGCTCCCTGCATTTCACCCTCAACATGATGGTGAAAAGATATTTGAGGATCCTAGCTTCCACACAGTGCACCATTGGCTTCTCCAGCATTCCAGAAGAATCTGGGGAGTGGAGAAGCATGGGTGGGAAGACCTGCCCTCCCAGCTCAGGCTGTCATGTCCTATCGACTAGTCTGAGAAAATGAACAGGCTTCCCTTGCTTCAGTGTTCTTGCTATATCTTCTTCCCTACCTAATAGCCCTCCTCCCCATATGCCATCTACCCCCCCCATATGACATCTTTAATAGGGTTAAGACTCAGTTGCCCACATCCCCTCCTCGACCCTTGGCTCCCCCCACCCTACCCCCACCCTTAGCTATCTTACTTGCCATGAGAATGATAGCACAAAGTCCTCAAAGGCTCCCACCCACGTGTCATCTCCTGGTGGTGTGTCTTCTACAGTGTGTGGTGACCAGCGCCATCACCCCAGCAGGAGTCATGATCCTTGAAAGGGTCAGAAGTGGGATGTAAAATGTCTGAACCCCAACTCCATCTCAAATCTCTTAGGATGGGGTTCCCCCACCAGAGAGTCTGCACCTCTGATCAAAGCCTTCAGCTGGCCCATGGTAGCATTTTGGGACAGTGGTGGTGAGAAGGGGCTGAGGGCAGCGGGAGGGCAGTGCCCCAGAGAGAGGGTGTCTTCTTCCCCGGGTTCTCCTTCAGTGTCCCCTTGACTGGAATTCTGGTGGAATGGTCTGTGCACAGAGACCAATCCAAAAGTCTTCTCTGAAGACCCCTCCTATCACCCTAAACCCAGAGAGAAACTGAACTCCAGCTCTTCTGAAATCAGCACAGCCCAATGATTGGTGGCCCTGGCTCCTAGGCTGGCTTGGGAAGGAAGGGTACAGAACCATTCCTGGGTGGGAATGGAGGACACAGGTTTTGGACGCCTAGAGCCCCAGTAGCCAGTGGCAGGAGCGAAAGGCAGTGCTGCAGTAAGGGCGGTCCCCTAATCTCCAGGACTGCAGACTCCTGCGCCTTTGCCTCCGACACAGTTCCACTCACATTTGCCTCACTTCGGTCGTCGCTTCCTTGGCAGTCAGCTCGGATTTGTAGAGACGCCCACACACTCCCCGCCCCTGCAACCCCAGCCCAAGGGTGGTTGGGGTGGAGTGGAGGCCACCTCTCCCAGACTTCATTCCCATGGCCTGGTGTCCAGCGCTCCGGTCGCATGAGGGTTAACCTCGTGGGGGTGGGGATTCATGAGCGGTCGGCAAAGGGAGGGAGGGGACAGGAGGCGACCCAAGGCGCGGGGAGCTGGCCGGCAGGCCTGGGTCAGGCCTCAGAGGCCGCTGGAGCCCCGTGTGTCGCAGGCCACCGGGCAACCACTGGGGTACACGCTGCGCGCTGCGAGGGGTCCACCGCAGATCCCAGGCCCCAAACTTCAAGTCGGAAGGGGTGAGACGCTGGGCATAAAGACAGGTGGCAACCTGTCTGGACGCTGCCCTCCTCCCTGAGGACCGCCACCTCCACCCTACTGAATCTCAGCCCTTACTCCGGCCACTATATTGCCTTTGGCCCGTGATGAAGCGGGGAGGCGGTGGTCCCACGGCGGCCCCAGAGGCCGAGCTGGGCGACGTGCCCCTGGTACTGCCGCGGCCCAGGGCCTGTCCCGCTGACGTGCGGCTCTGCGGCCACCTTCGGAAGCAGAAGTCCCAGCGCCGCCGCTTCTTCGTGCTGCGCGCTGATCCGCCGAGCCTAGAGTGCTACGAGAGCGAGAAGAAGTTCCGCGCCGGCCGAGCGCCGCCCAAGCTCATCGTGAGCCTGGCGGGCGCGTGCACCATCAGCACGCGCGTGGACGCGCGCCAGCGCCACCTGATCCTCCTGTACACGCGTGACCGCAGCCTGGGCGTGGCGGCGGCCTGCGAGGCGGAGCAGCAGGCGTGGTACAGCGCCCTGCTTGAGGTGCGCGCGGCCGCGGGTGAGGCCCGACCCCTTGGCAGGTGGAGACGCGGCGGGGGGCTGGGAACCGGGGGTTGGGTGATCGCGGGTTTTGTTTATCCTAGGTTGTCCCAGCAAGTCTCGGATATGAAGTTCAAACATGAAGCGTTAACACCTCTTTAATTCTTGGGGCACAGTGACTCCAACCTCCGGACCCAGGAGCCCTTTGTGATCAGCCCACTATCTCTCCAGGTCCCAGCTTTCACGAGGACCCCAGGGCCTGGATCCTTGCTCCATTTCAGGACGTCTGGCCCGTGACGCTGCGGCCCAAGGGACTGGGGAGGACACGAGGCCTGGGCAGCGGCCGCTATCGCCTGTGCCTGGGTTCGGGGGTGCTGAGCCTGCTGCGGAAGCCCAAGGGCAGAGGCTCTCGGGACACCCAGGCTTCGCCGCCGCCGGCCCTGCGCCTGTCGCTGCTCAGCGTGCGCCGCTGCGGCCACGCAGACTCCCTCTTCTTCCTGGAACTCGGCCGCTCGGCGCCCACGGGCCCCGGGGAGCTGTGGCTACAGGCGCCGGATGCCGTGGTGGCCCAAAGCATTCACGAGACCGTACTGGCCGCCATGAAGCGACTCGGGGATGATGATGCCGGTGGCAGGACTGAGCCACTGCCAAGGGATCCCCCGACGAGTTCTTACAGACCCTCTGTCTCCCAACCTTATGCGACCCTGGGCTCGGCAGCCCAATCAAGCAGCCTGAGCCATCGCGGGAGCGTGGGTGAGAGGAAGGAGAAAGCAACCCCTGAGACCCTGGCGGCGCTGGCGACTGCAGCTTCGCACCCTGGGGAATTGGAGCGGGGCGGGGGCTACGTAGCCATGGGAGCTGGGAGCAACTACGAGGCCATGGGGGGTGGCCAAGCAGGTGGTTACATGGTGATGGCACCCCCGGGCCTTGCTGCGTTTGCCCATGCCCCTCCCCAGGAGCAGCTCCAGGGGTGCGGGGGCACTGAATACGTGCCCATGAGCCACTTTCTGCCAGGGTCCTTTTCCTTGAGCTCCCTGCCCCGTTCCTATACGCCCAGGCCCAGGAGGCCGGGACCTTCTTTCCAAGGCCCCCCTCCCGCCGTCGGGGAATGTTGGGGACCGACAGGGGCTCATCCCTGCTTGCAACCACCTTCGGAGCTTGCAGGAGAGTATGTGTGCATCAGGTACGTGGCCCCACACCACTTAGGAATGAGCACTGCCATACAAGACCCGGCCAAAAACCGCCTCAACTATGTAGACCTGGACCTGGTCCCTCCATTGGAGGCTCAAGGCGACACCCCGGGGTCCAGCATTCACCACCCACACAGCTATGCCCACATCGACTTCCAGAACCTCAGGGAGGTTCGGGTGAGGAGACACAGGCAGCCCCCTCCAGTCTAGCTGACGGATGGATGGGGAGGAGGAGAGAGAAAACAGGACAAATGCCTTCCTGCCAGCTCCCCTCAATTCCTCCCCTCACCCTTCCAAACCTGGAGGGGCTCTTAGGCACCGCTGCCCCCCCCACCCCCCCACCCCCCCGCCCAGGACCTGTGACTTGCAGAGCTCTGAGCTGCCCTTAGGCCTATTGCCCACTCTGCTCCTTCCAGATGTGGTGCCTGGGGAATCTTCAGGAAAAGGTTCCCCAAGAAGCTGGATTCTTTTAACGGATAAAATTCTAGAGCCACCCTCCCCTCTTCCTGCCCACAAACCCCCAGCAAAGCCCTGATCCTTTCTCTCCTGGCAGAGTTCCTGAAGCATCACTCCAGATTCCCAGGCTGGCTGACTTCTCTTACGTGGACCTGTTCCTCCCTACCTGCCTTGTGTCTCCTCCCAGCCAAAGAACTAATCCCCAGCCCCAGGGCTGAACTCCTAGGACCCCAAAGCAAGAGGGCTGAAAGCACCAGGTACCTTCTCTCTACTGCTTCCCAAAAGTGCTGTGCCACCCCCTTACTCCCTGATTTCCCTCTCTCAGCACCAGCCATGTGTTCACACAATCCTCCCTTCTATGGAGCCTGGCAGAGCTGATAGACTTCTTGCTTCCAAATACTGTCTGGGGGACTGTACTGTGGATCCCACACACACCCTGCCCTATTAAAGGTGCCCTCCTTGGTCAGCCTGGAAAGGTTTTAGGTCCGTGGATTCCCCTGAGCTACTGTAGGGGTGACCAATGAGTAACAAGAATTTGAGGGGAGGGCAGCCTAAGCTGTGTAGAGGAAGAGACCCCACCCCTGTCTCCATGCCCCACTCTGCCACTCACTACAAAGAGCCTGTTTGCAAACCAACACTTTTATTCTCAACAGAAGCTGTCTAGGGGAGTAGGGAACCCATTCTGCACCCAGAAGGAGTATGTTCAATGTGTGTCTGAGGTTTGAGGGGCAGATGGGTCAATGCAGTGAGAACAGCTGGGGCCACCACTGGGGTCTGGGTGATCAGATACAGGGTCTGGGGGGCCAGCAGGGGGCGTGGGAGCCTCCAAAGCCACAGGTCTAGGAGGCCCCTGGCTCATCTGCAGGAGGCCAGTCAGGGCGATGAGCTCAGGCCCACTGAGCCAGGCAGTAGGGCAGCCAGGGGATGGGGTGCAGAGGACCCAGGGAGACATGATAGGAGGTGGGAGCAGCAGCTTCAGAGAGCCCATCACCTGAGAAGACAGGAGGGTGGAATGTCTCCTCCCAAGCCCTGCATGAAAAATAGGCGAGGCCAGGGCAGGAAGTGCACTCACCTGTTGAGAGGCCTCAGACAGATACAGGGGAATACGCTGCCCACATGGCAGCAGAGGGTCTGAAACAAAGACATCTTCACAGCACATCACTGGGAACCCTGGAGAGGAGAAGCTGGGAGGGCAGCAGGCTGGGGTTCCCACATCGGCAAGGGCTGCACTGCTTCCCTGAGGAGCTCGTGCAGGGCCACTCCAGAGTCCCTGGGCCCAAGCAAAGTACCTGCATCCCTGGGCTCATGCTCTCCATTCTGATGTCCTGTTGCAGGGGCCAGGGACCTGAGGTCCCGGCCTGAGGCTGCCTCATACAGTGGCCACAATGAGGGATGACACAAGGTCCGGCCTGAGAAGGAGGTGCCAGGTGCACAGCTGGGCCCCTGTGAAGGGAGCATGACAGAACACTGGAGCTTGGGCTCCCTCCGAAGGCACCCCTGCCCCACCCCCAGGACAGAGCCGCAGGCACTCCCAACTCACCCACACCAGCCGGGGTCCCGCTTTAGCCTTGTCGTTGGGATCCCATGGTGCTAACACGGTCATCCTTGAGGGGGCCACCTCCCAGGCCATCTGAGGGGAAAGGGCTACTGGGGCGGGGCGGGGGGGGGGGGGGACAGAGATTAAAACAGGCTGGGGAGTCGGTGGAAGGGTCCTGTGGGGTAAAGGCCGCAAGGCCTGAACCTACCTGGGGTTCCCGGGGAATGATCCGCAGCCAGGCCTGGGGGAGGCCGGGACAGCAGCAGCTCTCTCCGGGTCCAGGAGGGCCTTCGGGACCGGGGCTGCGGGCTGGGAGCGGGAGGTACTGAGGTGCACCGGTTACAGCCTCCCCCGGTACTTCCTGGGCAGGGCCGAGGGTGCCTGGCGCATGGAGTCTGGGCACAGCCATTCTTCAGGATCGGCAACGGAGATCTCCGCACACTGTGGGCCCCCTGTCGGACTTCCCTCCCGCCCAGCCCCTCACCTGTCCTGCGGGGGAGTTCCTGGCTCCTCCAGGGCTTCCTCTCCAAAGGTCGAGGTCTCCCCGGGGTCACTGCCAGCCGAGGAGCCATGTTCCTCGAGCGCCTGCTCTTTGCCCGCGTCCCACCGCCGATGCGGCCCAGGCAACATGACGCCTCTGGCGGGGGAGGGCAGCGCAGGCCAGCCGCTCCGTGCCCCGTGTCCGCACCGTCCGTGCTTCCCACCTCGCCCCTCGCAGCCCCACGTGGCCCCCTCACGGCCCTCACCTCCCGCAGCACCCCGCCCAGCTCGCGGGGCCTCGCCGCCACGCCGACGCCCAGCGCGTTTCCGGACCACGTGGCGCGCGCTCCCGCCGGGATCCCGCGGACGCCCCCTGGCGGCGGGGGTGGCTGAGCCCGCGCTTGGCAGCCGTTGGCTATGGAGGGGTGGCGCCCGGTGCGGGGAACTGCAGAACCCCAACATCAACGCGGAGGCGACCCTTTCCCCGCGAAGCACTGCTTTCGTTCACAGACGGACGGACGGACACACACACACACACAACCTGAGGGGCAGCCTAGAGGGCCCGACTTCTTTATTGCACTTGACACAAGACCCTTGGCCACACCCAGAGGCGGCCAGGCACCTTGCTGGACTGGGCCTGCTTCCAACCCCTCGGGAGGGCCGAGGGGCGCCCAAGGAACAGGGCCAGGCCCAAGGCCGCCCTCACCAGAGTCCTTGCTAGAAATCAGAAGCCGGGCACGGCTGTCTTCTCTGTTCCTGGGTTGCAGGCCAGGTCGGGGCCCTGCGCCCCTTCCTCAACCCTATGGCCTTTCCAGCAGTGCGTGGACGACAGCAGCGATGTAAGGGAGGCCCCTTCCTGGGGCCCCCTCCTCTTCCAGGATGTGATGGGGCTGGCACAGGGACTCCTGGGGGGAGGGGCCCGGGTTAAGTTCCCTATGTCACCCTGTTCTCTCGGCTTCCCTGCCCTTCCTGGGAGCAGGATGGGTGAAACCCCAAAGAAGCCTGGGCAAACAGGGCTGACGGGATGGCCCAGGTGGAGGCAGCAAAGTTCAGGGGCACCCTGGACATGGCTTGGGACAAATGAGATGCAAGGAAGTTGCCAGCAGGTAACAGAAGGGAGATGACACAGGGGGCCAAGGCTCAGGGGAGGAGAGACCTGTCATTTCCAGAGGGAAATGCTGGAGTAGGCAGGCTGGCACACAGAGCCCAAGGGGCACAGCCAGGACTGGGCCTGGCCACAGCAAGAGCAGACGCAAACACACACACAGAGGCGGCCACGGTCTGTACAATTTATACACAGAGACAGGGACCCAGCCTGGGCCCCTGCAACTCCTACAAATATAGAGTTCTCTCTACAAAATATAGATAATTTAGCTCCCCATAACAGTGGGGGGACCAGGGTGGAGGGGGACGGCACAAGGAAGAAGGTTGAGATCTACCCTCTGAGGGAGCAGAGGGAAGGGCAGGGCCTGGAGGGAATGAAGGCACCATCAGCATGGAGAGGTGAGGGGCACGGGAAGGGGCTACAGGAGGGTGGCCAGAGGCTGGGGGCCCAGGGTCTGGGGGCACCAGAGTGGGGCCTCTGAGGTCAGTGTGTGTGAGGGGAGAGGGTTCACTAGTGTCTTTGGTAGGGGCTGAAGGCACCACTGGTAGGGATGGGGGTTGCACAGGAGTCTTATAAATAGAAATAGGTGGAGGGGGCAGGGGAAAGGGTGACTTCAGGTCCTAGGAACCCAGGAGCCGAGTGTAGACGACATAGAGCAGCAGCATGAGGACCACGTAGAAGAAGATGAAGCCGCCCAGACCAGAGGGGGGCCAGAGGGGTGGGGGGGCCCTGCCCCCCACCCGCTTCACAGCCTCCAGGGTGGTCCACAGCCCCTGGGCAGTGCCCTGGAGGAGATCCGAGGGCGAGCACAGGTCAGCCTGGGAAGGGAGAGTAGGACAGATGGACAAGGACAAAGAGCAGACGTCAGCAGCAGCAGCAGCAAGACAATCCCTCCCCACCCCCTGCCCTCACGTGCCAAGGCCTGAGCCACACCAACATGCAGAGTGCAGGGCACGGAAGCATGCAGGGTAGGGAGGCGTGCAGGACCGGGACTTGTGGACATGCTTTCTTCTGGGGAGCAGACACCCCTTTGAATGGAACCCTGCCATCCACACGGAGTGCTCAGCTGAGCCCGGGACATCGCCACTCTATAGTAGGGACTGGGCCTGGGTTCCTGAGAACACCGCCCCCATACCTCAGGCACCCCGATTTTTCGGCAGGCTTCTAAGAAACTCTCCACATTTTTCCGAGACTTGAGAGCACTAAGTTTTGGCTGCAGGAGGGCGAGAGAGGAAAAAGAAGAGAGTAAGAGAGGCCCTGGCAGTCCTCTGCCCCATCCGCTACTTCCCACCCTGGGACCCCACTGACCACAGCAGGCGAGGGCACATGGATGAAGGGCACGGAGCGGGGCCGCAGCTGGTTGGCCAGCTGACAGAGGATGACCCCATTGGCCAGAGCCTCCGCCAGGTCCTCAGGCAGGGGCCGCTGCAGCCGGGACTCCATTACCTAGGGGGCAGGAGGACGACAGGGGAGCAGTCAGGGTCAGTGGGGACTCCGGCCCACCCCTTCCATCCTCCTGAAGGCACCCACAGGGTGTGAAGTAGCCCCTCCCCGCCCCCACAGATCCCACCTCTCTCACCTGGCGCAGCTGTGCCATCAGCTCCTTCTCGTCCAGAAGCTGAGGGGGTCGCCGAGGCCTCACGGCAGACTCTGGTGAGGAAGGGCCTGGAGAAAAAGGAGGAATGTGGGCTGTCTCTACCACCCACTGCCGACTTTCTAGCTGGGTCACCGTGTCTGGCACCCACATCTCCTGCCTTTGTACTTGTGGGGATTTTCAACACAAAGGGACAATAGACTGGAGAATTCCCAGGCCAGAAGGGGTGACCGCAGCCCAGGGGTTAGTGCTGGCTTAGCAATGGCGACAGGGGGAAACCCACCTGAGCCACTCTGAGAGGAAGAACGGAAGAGGAAGCTGTTTGGTCTCTGAATGGAGCCGAGCGGCCGGGGAGCAGGCACTGTCGCTGGGGGCCAGAGCCAGGGGGCAGGTGAGAAAGACACCCCCTGGAGTCCCATGCTTCCCTCAGACCACCAGGCCCCAGCCACCCCCTCACCTATACAGTCCCCCATCCTCTTCCCATAGTCCCTGTCCAACCTGGTCCAGCTGCAGGAAGGGGCTCCTGGGAGGCAGGGGTGGGGGCAGGGGCCGGGGGGGCTCCCTGCCCCCCTGAAGCTCCCAGTTGGGTGGCACTGGACTTGGGCATGCCGCTGAGGACAGACACACAGCAAATTAGAGGGGGTCCAGGGAGGGTGTGCAGGGAGATGGCTCAGGGAGGTGGAGTCGGGGAGGACACATACTTGTAGGAGGCCTGAGTGGATGAGGCCGCAGGACCTCCGCCAGCAGCCCTGACCCCCAGCTTCACAAAACTGGAAAGCAAAGGAGATGTGGGGTCGGCAGTGCAGGCAGCAGACCTGCAAACCCCGAGGGACAGAGTAGCTCACGAGGGCTCATTTCCACAGCCCCCTAGCCCTACCCCGCCCCTGCCCTCTGCCCACACCTGTCCTTCCGGGGGGCCCCCCACGCTCCGCTGTGCTGCTGCTGCTGCTGCTGCTGCTGCCGCCGCTCCCGCTCCTGCCATAACTGCAAAGTGTCCGGGCGTCGCCGCTCCTCACCAGCAGGCTCCTCCCGCCTGAGGGGTAGAGGCAGGACCAGTGAGGCAGAGCAGGGTCAGGAGAGGAGGGAAAGTGTAGGGTGACGGGGTTAAGGGAGGAGATGCCGGCTCAGGTGGCTCTGGGGTACCTGCTGTTTGGTGCCTTCTCTCCGTCCCCTGCCACAGGGCTTAATTCTGGTGGCCGGGGCTCCTGAAGAAAAAGCAGCAGAGGGGGTGAGGGAGGATCTGTTCCCCCAAGACTGTACCGGCTCCCTCCCTTCGCTCTCCTGTCCCACAGGGCACAGCACACTACCGGGCACAGGGACAGGGGCCGGACCCTCACCTCAGCAGCACCTCGCTCCTCGTCCTCCCCAGGCACGTGGCTGTCAATGAAGTCAATCTGCTCAGGGTCTCCGTCAGCTGGAAAGGCCAGGGCACGTCAGCAAGCAGGGGGGAGCCTTCGGGGACCTGTCCATTACCCCAGTCCCCTTATCCCGACCCCATCACTCACCAGAGCCATCCTCCCTCCGCTCCCTGGGCCCTCGAGGCTCCCGGGCCAGCTCTGAGATTCGGAAGGACAACTCCGAAAATTCATCCGTTGACTTTAAATGAAGAAATGCAAAAATGGGAGTCAGCTGCTCAGCAATGCTGGGGGTTCATGGGGTTCAGGCCCTTGGGGTCTGCTGCTAAGCCAGCCCTTCCTTGGAAACTTGGGCAAGGGAAGAAGACCACTCCAGCCACCAACTGTCACTCTGATATTCAGAGGCACCAAGCAAAGGGTCCTGGCTCAGGAGGTTCTCCCCGGGGGCTCAGACCCCCAACATCCCTCAGAAAAGAGGCTCTTACCTCATTTCCAGACCACCTCTTGCTGCCGCTGTCAACACTGTGGAAGCCTGAGTCTAGCCCACCATCGTACCGACGTCCCGGAAATAAGTCCTCAGCAGGGCTAGTGCCAGCCAGGGAGAGCTAGTCAGTCCGATATCAGGCAGTGACCCCTCTCATCTTCCCACCAACACCCGTGGAGTCCATGCGGCCAGGAAGGGGCAGCAAGTATCCAGGAGCGTCCTTTCTTCCCACTTAGAACTTACCAGGGACTGAAACTCGGGGGGCGAGAAGGGGCCAGGTCCCCCAATGCCGACCCCCCACGCCGCCCAGCCTCTGTTGACAAGTACTTAAAGATGTGAAGCTTCCCCTTCAAGCAGATCTAGGTATAAGGGGGCACAAGGTAGGGGTTAGGGGAAGGGAAGGGGGCTCCCCCAGATCCCGATTGGCTGCTAAAGGGAACCACTTCCCAACGCCTACCCACTCTCAGCTCTGTCTCCATGGTCTACCCCAAACCCACCCCTCACCTGAGCAGGTGGGCTTTGCAGGGGGTTGCTGTCCAGCAGAATGACCTGCAGGTGCCTGAGGCGGCAGAAGGAGACCGGGATGCGGGAGACACGGTTACAGGAGAAATCCAGGCGGACAAGAGGAAGATCCCCCAGCTCTGGGCGTGGGTGAGGGAAGAGTCAGGAGCCTGCCCAAGGGGGGGGGAGGGTCTTGTGCTCACCTCCTCTGCCCTCTGCTCTGGCCAGCTGGCCACCCCGGGGTCCACCACAGGATGCCCTGACTGGCTGAGAGCACTCCCCAGGAACAACCTACCTGGTTCCCTTCCTGGTCAAATATGGCCCCCTCCAGGCCCCCCTCCCTTAGCTCCTATCCATCTCATGTGCTTCTCTCCTTTTCCCCACCCTGCCCACTGCACACTTCAACCGTTGCTCCATCCCCAAGTGACCAACACAGACCCAAACCAAACTGTGACGTCGCACAGCTCAAAAATCTTCCATGACTTGCAGCCAAGGCTGCTACGGGTGTGCTAGGTGCTGTGCCCTGCACAAAGGACCCAGGCAGGAAGGGACTGCAATCCCACCTGAACTTCACTAGCTAAGCCCTTCCGGTCCCAGGCAAGGCTGTGCCCACCCACAGGAAAGGGTGCCTTTTTCTATTTCTCAAACACGCACAGTTGGATTAGTGGTAGCCAGAGACACAGAATAAAAATCACCACTCCCTGGCCCAGCACGGTCAAGGTGTTCATGATCTGGCTCAGCCCACATTTCCCATCTCACTGCCCACCCTTACACCACATCAAACAATCCTCCAGCCCCTCGGCTTCTGCACCTTTCCACCTGCTGTTTGCTCAGCTGGGACAATGTCATTTTTGTGTCCATTTTTCAAGGTTCAGCTCAAGTGTTGCCTGCTCCACAAAATCTTTCCAGACACTTAGGTTAGAATTCCCTGCTCCTTCTTCTGTGTCCCCAGAGCATTTTGCTAGGGTCTTTTTTATGGCCCAGAGAGCATCCTGATCAAGTGCTTGTTTACACTGCTACTGACTCAGAAGGAAAGAGAGCCAGTGTAGAAGTAAGGGGAGCTCAGAGAAAATGGGTGACCAGCTGACTCCCTCCCTTGTTCTTTAAGAACAAGATGAGCAAGGCTCAGGGCCTTCTCGCCTGGCCATGGCTTGCCTTTCTCACCACATCCTGCCAGACTGTGCTCCCTCCCACCCACATGCTTTGCCCCAGGATGCTTTGCCTGGGATGCAGAAGGAAGGAGAACTTTCCTTCACAGGTCGGCTCCTGCCATGCCTCTGGGGCAAAGTCTTCCTCAAACTCCCTGAGCAGAGCCACGTGCCTTCCCTCCAGCTCCTGCAGCTCTTTAAGAGTCCTGTTCTAGCACTTTCTTCCCCTTCTCTCCCCATGAAGCCAATACAGTTTAACAGTTGGCCCCAGATCTGAATGACATCACACACATCTACCTGACGCCCACCTAAAACACAGGAAACACACGACAACGCTGGCTGGCTAAGGGCAGGGGTGCTTGCTTTGGAACAAAGGCTATCAAATGTTGGGGTGGATCACAGCTAGCTCGTTAAAATGGGGCTGCTTGGGCTCTGGCACGTGGCTCCACTGACTCAATCTCCGGGGAGGAGGTACAGGGCATCATCCGACTTGAGAGCTCCCACTGGGTGAAAGAGGACACCGGGTGATGCTGAAGGCCCCTTCCAATCCTGGGATTCTACAGGGTACCAACACACTCACTCACTCTCCCTTCTGTGCCTTGTTCCACATTTGTGAAATAGAGCTAATAACCCATGCCTGCCAGCCTCAGAGGGTTGCTGGTTAAGAACAAGTAAGTTAGGGGGTACTTGGAGGGCTCAGATGGTTAAGTGTCTGACTCCTGATTTCGGTTCAGGTCATGATCTCATGGTTCGTGAGTTCAAGCCCTGCATCAGGCTCCACGCTGGCAGTGCGGAGCCTGCTTGGCATTCTCCTTCTCTCCCTTTCTCTCTGCCCCTCCCTGCTCACTCTCTCTTTCATTTGTTTTACACACTGCAAAACCCTAGGCAACTAAGGCATCGATGTTCTGTGAAGAGTCTTTGTCTGCGACTTCTCCAATGTAAACAACACACACACACTCTTTCTCTCCGCACACCCCCCCCCCCCCCGCTCCCTCCAGCTCCTCATTCTCCTTACCATCAGGGAGGGTGCTGAGCTGGTTTCTCCGAACACTGAGGTCCCGCAGGGAAGGGAGGCTACACAGCTCTGTGGGAAGGGACTGCAACTCATTGCCGCTCACATCCTGCAATGAGGAAAGAAGCCGGGCAGGAGCCCTAAGACCAGGAGCATCGGGGGCACCTGCTGGTTCCGTCAGCTAAGTGGCTGACTCTTGATTTCGGCTCAGGTCATGATCGCACAGTTCATGAGATCGAGCCCCGCGTCAGGCTCTGCGCTGACAGCGCTGACTGCTTGCAATTCTCTCCCGCTCTCCCTCTGCCCGACTCTCTCTCTCTCTCTCTCTCATAATAAATAAATAAACATTAAAAAGGAAAAAAAAAACAAACAAACAAGAGCATCAGAAACTGCCTCCTGTCTCTGGCCACCTCCAGGTGGTCCCCACCTCTCCCCAGCTTCCCCCAAAGGTGCCTGGCTCGACAGCCCCTCTCCTTGCCCTGCTCCTTATGCTCACAAGCTGCCGCAGGCTTCCCAAGGCGCTGATGTCGGGAGGCAGGGCTCCCAGTTTGTTGTTGCTGACAATGAGCACCCGGAGGGGCAGCTGGCAGATGTAGGGTGGCAGCGATGACAGCTGGTTTCGGCTGTGGAGGGGAGAAAGGCAGTGGGCTCACTCCCCAGGCATGGCATCCCAGGGTTGCCCTCTTTTCAGGGTCACCAGGAGGGGGACTCGGGGTACTGTGCACTGGGACTTGGGGCTGAGAAGAATAAGCTCCCCACCCTGCACCCCCTCCCCAGCCACGCCTTCCTACCTGAGGTTGAGGTAGGTAAGGGCCGTGAGATTCCCCAAGGCTGGGTTCAGGCATCTCAGGCAATTGTGATAGAGGCTCAGGCCCTCCAGGGACACCAGCTGGCATGCCGCCTCCGGCACCTCGGGGAACCGGTTCCGGGAGAGGTCTAGGGGAAGCAAGTATCAGAGGAGAGCTGTGGAAAGACAGCCCTGGACAAAAGGACCGTGAACTCTCCCAGAGCCAGCTGCCCAGAAGTCTGCCTCCCCTTCGGACCTGAAGAATCAGACCTATAAACCTGGGCTCCCTGGAGACAACAAAGCTTTCTGCAAAACTTGAGCATGTTGCAAGCACATTACCAGAACAGCAAAGGAAAGGCAAAGGCCACAGGGTCACTGGGCTGGAGAACCCCAGACTTGGGAGAGCAAAACATGAACACCGCCTTCAAGTACACAAACGAAGGGCTATCCTGGAAAGGGTAACTGGCTTCTAGAACTCTTGTGATTCCTGTTGTTCTATGGAGAAGGGCTGGTGCTCCAGAGAAAATAGCAAGGTAATAGAGTGGGAGGCTCGAGATAAGAATATTATCACCCTCTGGAGGAGACCACTGAGAAAGCTCATCCCTCCTCGGGGGCCTTTCCCCCAACCTCAACCTCTTTTCAACACAGGGGAGAAACCAAGGGCCATTAGAGTCTGGCTCTAGAGATTAAATAAGGCTCCTGACATACTGGACAACGGCGCTTCATCAGCCCCTGGGATCAGCAAGCCAGGTCCAAGAGTCTGTGAAGTAACAGACTCCCAGGGACCAGGAAGGGAGGGCAAGCTGATCAACCTGGAGGTGGGAGCTAGAGTCCTCGGGTCCCTCCCATCAGGATACACTGTGCTCAGGACTGGCCTCCTTCCCACCTTCTTCCAGCCCCACCAGCCCCGCTCTACTTCCTCTCTTACTGACCCAGACTTCAGGCACTCGGCTCTTTTGCAGGATCTTGGTGTGGGTGAGGGGCAGAGAGGGAGGAAGAGAGGATAAAACCTCTCACCACCCCTTATTCTCAAGGGGTCGCTTGCTACTCCAATGAAAGGAGTCAGGCACGGGGTTTCCGCCAGTCTGGGGACGGTAATTGCTGAGAGCCCTGCAAGCAAGACTGGATTTCTGCTTCCTCTCCTCGCCTGTACTGGGAGGGGCCCAAGGCCTGCTGTGGGATGTCTCTGGCAACAGAACTTGGGTGAGCTTTTTAGACAGCCCTCCCCAGGAAGGGGTGAGCGAAAGCCATTGGGAGGGAAGCTGGGGTATATCCCCCAAGGAAACGAGTCTCACGACAGGAAATGGAGTAGAAACAAGCTGTCGGGTTCTCTCTCTGGTGGGCCCTATGTTTACCAGGGTAGTGACAGCCTGAGGCACCAGGGGTCCTTCTTTCTCCCTCTCTGCTCACGGTCCCGGAGCACAGAGAGAAGACCTGTCAAGGGAGAAGACCCAAGTTCTGGAGAGGGTGAGAGGGCCAGATGCAGGCCTCCTCCGCTCACCTTCCACCTGCCTGCTCTCCCTCCATCCCCAAATGCATGTGTGTGCAAGCGCGGGTGCCATGGATGAAGGGGGTGGAGAGGACAAGCCGGCTGAGCGGTGACAGGGGCAAAAGGGGCAAAAGCTCGGGGTGGAAGGGAGCCCAGGCTGGAGGAGGCAGGGCACAGGAGGCACAGGATGTGGTCTGTGAGAGAATGAGCTGCACTTCTCCTTTGTGAGGGCGGCCCCTCCCCGCCATCTCAGGGTTCACCCTACTTTCAGGGGCCCCAAGGAACAGAGTCCAAGGGATACTGGAGACCTGTGCCACAGGAAATATGCAGAGAAAACAGTGGGGCAGAAAGAGTTGGGAAAGCAGCAGAGGGCTCAGGATAATCTGGCGGAGTGTTGAAGTGTTTAGTCTGGGTTGGAGGGCAAGGAGGTATGGAGGGCAGGGTATGGGCAACCCCAACTGTTACTTCCCCTTTCCACTCCAAACTATAAGCCTTCTGCTTGGGGAGCAGGGTCAGAGAACATTTTGGACAAGACAGATTCCACCTGGCCTACAACCTGAGCCCAGAAAGGACTTAGGATCTCTGCGTGGAGAGCAGGACAGGGAGAGGTCCTCAGTAAGCTGGGATTTTCCCACTTCGTCACGCAAGCTCACTCAGGAGAACTAACTGCCTGCACCCTGAGCCGGAATGCTGGGGGAGGAGGCGGGGAGGGGGTAGGAGCTGGGAGGGGCCAGGGAGTTCTTGGTAGTTTTCCCCAGGAGTCCACTCACAGAGACAGAGCCCTAAGGAAGTAAAGAATAACATTTGGTCTTTGTCAAAAAACAAGCAGGGGGGAGGGGAAAGGGAACAGACGGCGAGTGTCACACAGCTGCTGAGGTCAATCTGGAGCTTGGGGGTTAGGCGGCTGGGGGAGACGGAGAGGGAGAGGAATGGCTCCTGGGGCTCACCCATTCCCTGAACTCACTTGCTGCATGGTGGGCAAGTAAGTTTCCCCAGCAACCCAAGAAAAGTGGAGAGGTTTAAACTGGTTCTCCCCAGAACAGTGGAGGAAAGAGAGTGTCTGTGTCCACTTGGGTGTTTGCAGGTGAACAGGCACCTGCTAGAGGAGAAATGCATTCAGTCCCTGAGCAGTGTTTTCAGGAGGACACTCAGCCAGCCCCAAGTCCCACCCCTGGGCTAGGCTGGGGTGGGGCTTCGGGAATGCGGTCCTCTGGCCCACTCCCAATCTCCACCCCCCAGCTGCCAGCCCAGGGTCATAGGTTGTTGCCTCCTGAGCAGCTGAAGCCTGACTCACCTGTCATGGTAGAGTCCCCTACACCCCACCATCAAGAGACACCAGGGAGGAGGGACATAATTAGAGCGATCTGTGGGGTGGAGGAGTGGAAGGACAGTGGGACAGTCTCTAGCTTCCCAGAACTCCATGCCAGGAGATAAGATTTCCTTCCTTTCAGCAACTGCCTCAAGTCCCTCCCCTCCTAGGGAAAGCAGACACTGAAATGGGAATTCTAAGGTCCCTATGAGGTCACAGGCTCCATTGTGACCTCACACACGCAAGAAGGAGGGGGAGTCTCAGATAAGGGGGTCAGGGATAATAGGTGGAAGAGCTCGCGGAGAAAAGAGTTAGGGGAGGTGTAAGATTTGCTTCTTTTCCATAGGCTTGCTGGGTGAACAGTGGAGAGGGCCAGGGGGCGGGACGATAAGCACAGTAAACAGAAGCACCAGGTTGTTAGGGGCGAATCCTAAGGAAGAGGGGGGCCTACGGCTGCTCGGATCTAGGTGGAACCGGGAAAGAGTTGGAGACGAAGTGGAGAAAGAGAAAGGAGTCATTAGAGGGGCTCTTGGGGGCTGCTTTAAGGAACGATCAGAACTGAGGTTGAAGAGGTCATGCAAATGAGCCAACCAGGTGAAGGGCGGGACCATTCTACAGGTGCGCAGAAAGGCAAATAAAGAGAAGCAGAAGACGGGGAACTCTCACAACACTCGGTCAGGGCGCCGGACGTTCGGTGCAAAGGAGAAATGGGTTCATTGTCCAGGAGTTCTCAAAGTGGGGAGGGGGAGTTAGCAGGCTTATGCAAATAGTCAGGGTCAAGAACCTCGACGGTCAGGTGAAGGGGCGGGCCAGACTCCCGAGACCGGTGTGAAACAAGCTAGGGGCGGGGCTATGCAAATGAGGGTCCCAGCCCGGGACTAGGCCGAGTGCACTCACCAGCCTGGGTGATGTCTGACAGGTCGTAGCTGCGGGCCGCGCCCCGGGGGAAGTACTTCAAGCGTCGGTTGGACAGGTTCAGGGTCCCGGTGGCCACGGCCTCCTCTAGGGCCCGCTCTGCACTGCGGCTCCCGGGCAGACCCGGAGACCCCGGAACGGAGGTCGTGGCCGCCGCCTCCTCACCCCCGGCGGCGAGTGGGGCCGCTACCGCCGCCGCCATCCGCTCTCGGCGGCTCCCGCTGCCTGACTGACGGGACCGGCCGTCCCTCCTCCCCCCTCCCCCTCCTTGGAGCCGCCGTAGTCGCTTCAAGGGGGAGGAAACGCGCTCAGGGACACGGCTGACCAATCGCGATCCGAAGACGCGTTGGAAGTGGCTAATCAGAACCCGCCGGGGGGGTGGAGACTATAGCGCAGGAGTGAGGCGACAGAAGGGAGGGGGCTAGAATAGAGCGCTCGCCAACGGCCGGCGCTCCAGGCCGGCCCGCCCCGCGCAGCCGCGTCCAATCGCAATGCTTAGGGCTGGAGATGGAGCCAATCAGGTCTAACCAGGAGACGGGGACGCCGGTGCTCAACTAGAAGGGATAGAGGCCGAGACCTCAAGCCGGGTCTCGGGTTTTTTTTTTCCAACGGAGACCAATCGCAAGCCGGATACAGGCGAGTGACTGTCAAGAAGGCCAATTAAATCTTCCGGAGGGAACCGGCCCGGCCTCTTCTCTGAGGGACGGCTGTACCTACCAATAGCATGGGCGAGAAGGCGGTCCCTTCGCCTAGCAGGAGGCGGGTGAGCTAGATCTTTGAGACAGAGTTTAAAGAACGTGAGCGCTGCCGGTCGGGCGGGCTGGGAACAGTGCAGGGCCTGGAGAGGCGAGTGCGAGCTGCAAATGTTAGGGAGCGAGCCTGCTTTGAGGGCGTGAAGGAGGGGGGTGAGGTGCAAGGCGAAGCCTGAGACTAACGGGGAAGGAGGGGGTCGTTGGAACTGAAGGGACCGTGGAGGCCTTTCCGGCTGCGGAGTCTGAGGCCCTGCGGCGGTCTCCGGAGCTCTGGCGGGCGGGGGGCTTCCCAGAGACTGGAGATGCCCAAGGCAGCTCCTGAAGGGAGGGTTACAGGAGACCGGGAGAGCTTCCAGAACTACCGCCCGGCTGGCCAGCCTACCTCGAGGAGCGCGCCCCGGCGGGAACTGTGATGACAGGACCTGAGACGGGGGAGGGGAGTTAGTCCATAAGGGACCATCTCATTCGGAAGAAGCCCGCCGTTTTAACAAATGAGGAAACTGAGGCGGAGGGAAGTTGAGGAGTTGGCTAGAGCAGAAGCCCGGTTTCCCCCCGACTTCTACGTGGGCTTTTTCTATTCGCACCGTCTCCTTTGCTTCCTGAGCTGAAATAGTGGGGACCCAGACCCAAGAGGAAGCTGAGGACCCTTTTTCTGTGTGCTGAGGGATCTTAACGTCCTTTTAGGTGGCAAAAGGACCTAACACATTAACATAGTCCATTTACCACGTTAATAGTTGCCTGATCACAAACAACTAAAGGTTCTTGTGAATCACATCTCAGAGGTTGAGATTTCCTAAACATGTATTGAATCCTTAAAGTTCCATCCGCAGTGTCTCAAACTAGTTGTTTACTAGTCACCATGAGTAAGGGAGTTTGGGTGGTTGACTGATAGCTGGCGCAGTAAAGGAAAGTCTGTAATACTAGGCAACTGAGGGCTGGATGTCCAGGATTGGATTCCTTTGCGTTCCTGGAAGAGCTGGTTACTCCCTTTGGTTTATTGGTGTAGATCCTTTGCCCCTACCTGGACAGACATACCCTGAACTCCAGCTGTTTCTCCTATATGGCGGCCCTCTCTCCCCATAAGACTAAGTTAAAAGGTTAGACCCTGGGAGATACCCTATGCTTTCAGAGTAATTCTATCCCTTTCTTCCACCTTAATAGGTTGTCCTTCATACATGCATTGATGTTACTGTCCCAGGAAATCTGCTTTTGGATGTGTTTTTGTAAGACTAAAGAGTCGGTGCTGAATTATTCCCACTTTCATCTAGTGCATGCTTCCCTCTAAGCGAGTGTAGCAGGGTCATCTTTCCTCCTCACCTGTCAAACAGTTCATATTTTTTATACTTTTTTTTTTGGGGGGGGGTAGTTTATACTCTTAGGTAGTTTATACTGTTATCCTCTTACGGAGTTTATACAAATCCCCTGGAGGCCCTGGCCTGGTGAGATATGAAGAATTCACCAGTGTTTCTCTACAGAGCAGAGTGCTAAAGGGCCTCAAGGGGAGGAACCTCACAACTGTGCTCCAAAAGTAAAGGCCTCATCTAGCAGTCATTCACACTTTCTTTCTCCTGGAGGAGGGGCTCATGCATATCCCATGAGCCACTGGGTGGCTAGAGCCAAGCTAGAACCCAGGAACTGTCTAAGAAAATCCTGGCGGGGTTGGGGAAAATAGGTCACAGTGGCTGGACAGTGAGGTCACAGAGAGGTTTGTCTTCCCAGACTCCATGGGGGAGGGGCCTAGAAGGCTGAGGGGCCCCAGAGGTTCCCCAAGCCCAGGCGGGGGACATGGTGTGGGAAAGGCAGCAGGAACAGGGGCCAGGGAGCTGACTACAGGGGGGTCGGGGGGCCCGGAGGATGAGGGCAGGAGCAGAGACGGGGCAGTCAAGATGGTGAGGAGAAGCCTGAGAAGAAGGCTGCAAAAATTCACCGGGCTGTGCAGACAGGAGGAGGGGCTCAGGGTGAGGCAAGGGAAGGACAAGAAGATGGCAGCAAGAGATCAGGGGAGGGGTTCTTTGGAGCTGGTGAACCCAGAAACACGGCAGACAGGGAGGGGTGTCCCATGGACCTAGAGAGAAAGATAGGAAGATTTGAGGGCACAGAGCCATGAGCCCCTAAGAAAGAAGCTAATGAAAGGCTGACAGAAGGGAGAAAAGGAGGCCTGACTCTCATGGAATCCCTGTGCTCTCCCTTCTCCTTGGGTAGGTGAAGCGGAGCTGCCCTTCATGTGGCCCAGAGCCTGGGGGTGAAGAGAAGAAGGGCAGAGGGAACCCTATTTCTGTTCAGCTGTTCCCCCCAGAGCTGGTGAGTCATCCATGGGGAGGGATTCCAGAATAAAGGGCAGGGGACCAGAGTGATGAGGAGCCCCCTTGATGATTCCTGCTTCCTCCCTCCTGCCCACCCCCCAGGTGGAGCATATCATCTCATTCCTCCCAGTCAGAGATGTAGTCGCTCTGGGCCAGACCTGCCACTACTTCCATGAAGTGTGCGACGCTGAGGGCGTGTGGAGACGCATCTGTCGCAGGCTTAGTCCTCGTCTACGAGAGCAGGGCTCTGGGGTCCGGCCCTGGAAGAGAGCTGCCATTCTTAACTGTACACCTCCCCAGAACCTCAGTTCTCTTTGCCTCTATCCTGTGCCTTATTATTCTGGGATCCCTCCTGTTCCATAGAGTTGCCTCAGCATTCCTAGCCAACCTGCCAGGGCCCCTTTCTCTAGAAGAGCCTGTTAGATTCAAACATACCATCCATCTAGGAGCTCTGCAAGCCTCCAGCTCCACCCTCTGATAGACATCCCACCCGGAGCCCCCGTTACTAGCATCCCTGCCAAGTCAGCCTCCGTATTCGAACTCTCTTCCAAATCCTACCCCGGTCATCTCCTCCACTCCCCAAACCTGGAGTTTTCCCTCCTCTAAGCCAGGATTTCTCAACCTGCCACTGTTGACATTTGGGGCCAAATAAGTATTTGGAGTGAGGGGCTGTCCTGCACATTGCAGGACGTTTAGCAGCATCCCTGGCCTCCACCCACTAGATGCCAGTAACAAAGCTCCCCCCAGTTGTGACAACCAATGTTCCCTGAGGACAAAATCACCCCCACGTTGAGAAACATGCTCTGAAGCCCTCCATTCCCAGGGAGCCCCTATCCAAGTACCTGACTGCACACACTGGAGATTCAGGGAGATCCAGATCTGATCCAGATAGCAGATCCAGAGCTAGGGGTGAGGGCCGTTACTGGCCTTTCTCAGCCATTCCTTTTCGCTCCTCTGTCTGCTGCTTTTCTATGTACTATATTTCCCTTGGTGTCTCTGATGCAAGGTTGGACTAAAGAAGCCCTCACTTAGAAGCATGTGTAGTGCCCTGGGCTTGGGGTAGGGGGCAGAGAACTAAAGTTCAGGCATAAGGGATTATTAAAGATAGCCTGTGTAGGGGATTATTAAAGATATCTTCTAAGTCCCTGAAGATAGAAAAGTCCCTGTTCCCCAGTCCTGCTGCTAAGGGAGCTGCTATCGGAGCTGCTAAATACCCGGCCCTCTGAGAACTATAGTTTGCCCAAGCTCTGACAACTCTTCTTTGTGCCATCCTGACCCCTTGAGCCTTCCATCTCCTTCCCTTCTCCAGACACGAAGGGCCTGTATTTCCAGGCATTTGGAGGCCGCCGCCGCTGTCTCAGCAAGAGTGTAGCCCCCCTGCTAGCCCATGGCTACCGCCGCTTCTTGCCCACCAAGGACCATGTCTTCATTCTTGACTACACGGGGACCCTCTTCTTCCTCAAAAATGCCCTGGTCTCCTCTACCCTTGGCCAGATCCAGTGGAAGCGAGCCTGCCGCTATGTTGTATTGTGTCGCGGAGCCAAGGATGTGAGTAGCAGAGCCCTAGGAGCTGAGACCCCACCCCTCCTCCGGGGCTCCTCCGGGACCCACACCAGTCTGGAGGTACTCTCCTCAGGACGTCTGCCCTCCCATATCAGGAACTGAAAACTAAACCCTCTTTTCCCAGCCCTGAACCCAAGTATCTCATTTCTCACCCCAGGATCCTGTCACCCCCAAGCCTCATTCCACTCTAAGACCTAGATCCCAGACAGCTTCATCTTTTCCTATAGTTTGCCTCGGACCCAAGATGTGACACCGTTTACCGTAAATACCTCTATGTATTGGCCACCCGGGAGCAGCCAGCAGTGGTAGGCACTACGGGCAGCCGGGCCTGTGACTGTGTCGAGGTCTATCTGCAGTCCAGTGGGCAGCGGGTCTTCAAGATGACCTTCCACCACTCCATGAGCTTCAAACAGATTGTGCTGGTTGGTCAGGAGAACCAGCGGGCTCTACTGCTTCTCACAGGTGTGGCCTAGAGCAGTGGTTTGCAAATTGTTTTCTACACATGGTTCAGGACCTGCTGCAGGGGAGGGGAAGGCCTTTCTGCATGCCACCTCATCCTGGTCTCAAACCAAATAGCTTTGCTTTTTGTCTGTCTCATAGACTAAGATTCTGCTTTTTTTTTTGTTTAAACAACTTAAAAAAATTTTTTTTTAAGTTTATTTATCACCTGTGCACAAGCAGGGGAGGGGCAGAGAGAGAAGGAGAGAGAGAATCCCAAGCAGGCTCAGCACCATCAGCGCAGAGCCTGATGCAGGACTTGAACTCAAAAACTGTGAGATCATGACCTGAGCTGAGATCAAGAGTGGGATGGTTAACCAACTGCATCACCCAGGCGCCCCAGATTCTGTGTATTTCATATGAATAAAGGGCCCTGCTGCAAAAAAATAGTTTGGAAACCACTGTTCTAGTGAAAGCCTGATTTTTGAAATTCTAATCTTCCTCACTTCCTGCTAGGCACTTCACTTAATACCCCAAACTTACCCCTACCTTGCTGATTGTCCCATACATGTATACATTTTTTTAATTTTAATTTTTATTTACTTAAGTAATCTCTCCACCCAGTGTGGTGCTCACAACCCTGAGATCAAGAGTCATGCGCTGTTCTGACTGAAGCAGACTGGTGTCCCTGTCCCCTATATTTGACCCTACTCCCAAGCCTCAGACCCTCTAGACTTCTTAATTCCAGGCAGAGCCCCAAGTCCCCAGGCATCGTTCCTCCCAACACTCAAATTGGATTCTGGCAGATCTAACTGCTGGTTTTCTCTCCACTCATCATTCACACTGAAGGGTTTCCCTGATTCATTTTTGGTGGTACAGGGCTAGAGTCTGGGCAACTTGAGGTCATGCTTCCTGTATTTCACCTCTACCCTTTTTCTTCTAACCCCACTCTAGGCCAATAAGTGTTTAATCACTATGGCTTAGAGAATCTATTGGGAAGTTAATGTGGATATTGGGAGGTCCCCTCCCCCACATCATTGTCTGCCTCTCCCCATCTCCCAGAGGAAGGAAAGATCTACTCTTTGGTAGTGAATGAAACCCAGCTGGACCAGCCACGCTCCTACACAGTTCAGCTGGCCCTGAGGAAGGTGTCCCGTTGCCTGCCTCACCTTCGTGTGACCCGCATGGCTTCTAACCAGAGCAGTACTCTCTACATCACAGGTAAGAACCACCTTCCTTCTTCTCCACACCCTCGTCTTAAACAGACTTTCCAGATATGGACAGCCCCTTATACTTACTCTAGCAGTGGACCCCTTCAGGCATCCTAGTGAAAAGATGAGGTTAGGTTCCCAGATATCATAGCTGGTACATTTCTAGTGGGTGTGAGACTCCCTGGATCTTGTAGCTTTCATCCTAGGTAGGGCCTTATCGCTAGGAAATGGGTGCCCAAAGCTGCTGAGCTGAGGGCTCCTGACCCCCCAGACCAGGGGGGAGTGTATTTTGAGGTGCATACCCCAGGGGTGTATCGTGATCTCTTTGGGACCCTTCAAGCCTTTGACCCTCTGGACCAGCAGATGCCGCTTGCTCTCTCGCTGCCTGCCAAGGTAGGATCCTGGAGGGATGGGACGGACCAAGGGGCGGACAGAGGGGGATTTAGGGATTAAAAGGCACCAGAGGCCTGAAATATGAGCAGGAATCAAATGATTGATCAGGGAGGGACAGGGGCCCAGAGAGAGAGGGGCGAGGTAGCGGGCAAGGCCAAAAGAAATCAGCTGGGAATGGCAGGTTAGTGGCTGGGAGATTCTGGAGCTCAGAGTTCCTTTGGAGGGAACTGAATGCCTGCCTTCTCTTTCTGTCTTACTTCCTAGATACTATTTTGTGCTCTTGGCTACAATCACTTTGGCTTGGTGGATGAATTTGGCCGAATCTTTATGCAGGGAAATAACAGATATGGGCAGCTGGGAACAGGGGACAAAATGGACCGAGGGGAACCCACACAGGTGAGATTCGTTTTCAGTTATTCTCATCGTGGCCCCCTTCCTCCAATCCTCTACACCTTAGACCTCTCCTCTTCTCTACTTTCTTTAGAACCCACTTCTTACCCCCTAGGGAAGTTAAGCCAGCCAGTAAATTATGCGCATGATACTGTTGCGTGTCTTTCCGAGGGTTGGCACTGTGAGGTCCATTCTGTGTGGTGCTTGCTGCCAGTGCAATAGGAATTTAGTGAAGCAGGGAGACCTCGGTGGGCTGGTATAACTAGAAGAGGTGAGATGCGATCACGGTCTGGTGGGTTAGATCAGATTCGTGTGGGTACAGGGAAAGGCATTCCATGTAACAGGGATGAGAACGAAGCTGCACATACCTGGGACCATGAAAGGACTGGTCTGAAGCAGAGAGGATGTTTTGGAAATCGGTAGATATGAGGTGATACAGGCAGGGGTGAGCCTGAAAAGGTATAGATTTTGGAAAGTCACTCCAGGTTCTGGAGCAAGAGAAGGCCCCCCCCGCCACACACACACACACAGATGACTGAGAACAGGTCACCTGGCCAGAGTGCACAGGAGGCCACTGAATGAGAAGCCCACTGGGAGACCATTGAGTGACAGTGGCACTTGGGACAAGAGCCTGGGGCAGTGGGAATGGAAAGGAATGGATACCTGAGATGTTTTGAAAGAAAATGATTAGGTACTGGAAACTGATTAGATGTGAGGAGATGGGTGTGGGACACAAGTGGCTGTCGCAGTAGACCCCTTAAAGAGAGATGACATCACTAACAAATGTGGAAAGGGATGCTGGCTTGAGGAAAGAGGAAGAGCGTGAATTTGGACATTTTCTAAAGTGGAAATGTCTCTCTGGCATTAGATTCCATGTTGGAACAAGGCTGAAACAGACAGAAGCAGGGACAGGGGCACAAACCTGGGCAGGAGCTGATGCTGTAGGCAAAGGGAATGAAGAAGCTATCTCTGAGGCAGGAGGCACACCTTCAGGTGCCAAGTCCCAGAAGCCAGGGACACAGGGAGTGTCAAACAGAGGAGGTGATTAATGGTAACAGATAACATAGGAATATACCTGCCAACATGGAAATATGGTCAGGTCATATCTTTAGCTGAAAAAAAAATTATAAAATTATTTACATAGTACAACCCCATTTTTATTTAAAAGTCTGTAATTTGAAAACACACACACACACACACACACACACACACACACACACACACACAGAGGCAGCAGTGAAGAAAAATATCCAGGGATGCCTGATTGGCTCACATGGTTAAGCGGCTGACTCTCTTTTTTATTTTTAATGTTAATTTATGTTGAGGGGTTGAAGAGCAGAGAGGGAGAGAATCCCAAGCAGACTCCACAGGAATCTACTTAAATAAAAAATAAAAAGAAGAAAGAAAAAAGAATATCTAGCAAGATTTTTTTAAGTTTATTTTTTCAGAGAGAGAGAGAAGGTGCACAAGCAGGGGAGGGGCAGAGAGAAAGGGGGACAGAGGATCTGAAGGGGCTCTGTGCTGATGTGCTGACAGCAGGGTGCCCGATGTGGGGCTCGAACTCAGGATCATGACCTGAGTTAAAGTAGGACACCTAACTGACTGAGCCACTCAGGCACCCCCAGCAAGATGTTAATAGTGGGTGGTAGGATTTCCAGTGATTTTTAAATTAATCTTTGCTCTCCAAGATTTTATAACATTTCTTTAATGACCATAAATTACATACCTATGTCTTCAAAATTAAAGCCCTCATAATCTCAGGAGAAAGCATGCAGGAGAGGCCCTGGGGTTTGGGAGCTGGAAAGTCAAGTGCATTTGGGGAGAACACATCAGTAGCTTAGTAAGCAGGGAAGCCAGATCACAAGAAGTTCAGGAAAGATGGGCTGTGGTGAGAACAAAAATGTGGTCAACCTCAGACTGGTCACATAACCAGTTCTGTTGCCTAAAAGATGGAGGTAGGAAGGGGCAGGAATCAGGTGGAAATGTTTTTGTTTTTGTTTTCTTTTGTTTTTGTTTTTTTTTAAACAGAGTGGCCATTTTGGGAGACAAGGATAGGACAAGTGGAAAATGCTAGAGAGAGAAGGGAGGAATAAGTGGAAGGAAGGTCCCTCCTGAAGGCTAACCTGGAATTGTACAGGGAGGGAGGGAGTCTTTAAACTTTGGGAAGAGGAAACTTAGTCCACCTCCTGAGGCTGGAAGGCAGGATGAGCCTGGACTGTCACAGGTCTGGGGTAGTAGGAAGGAGCAGGTAGCAGGCCCTGGGCACAGGCAAGTAGCCTGTTTTCTGAGGAGCAACGATGAGGAACCAACAGAAGTGCTAGACCCCACGCAGTCCGACAGGGGCTGCAGGAGACCTAGGGAGGGAAAGATTGCTGCTGGTCTGCCTTCTGGCTGGGTGGGGGTTGAGGGGGTGCTGAGTCCCCTTTCTTCCCTCTCCTAGTTTCCTAGAGTCTTCCCTGAGCCTTTCTGTTGCCCTCCTCCTACCTGGGCCCTCAAATCCTCAGCATTCCCACCTTAGGGATCCTGGCCCTGTGTTCTCAGGTGCATTATCTGCAACGTCCCATTGCCCTGTGGTGTGGCCTCAACCACTCTCTGGTGCTGAGCCAGGGCTCGGACTTCAGCAAGGAGCTTCTGGGCTGCGGCTGTGGGGCTGGAGGCCGCCTCCCTGGCTGGCCTAAGGGGAGTGCCTCTTTCGTGAAGCTCCACGTCAAGGTCAGAGCCAGGACACGCCAGCAGGCAACGGGGCAAGGGCAATAGAGCCAGGTGGCACACAGGACTATAGCTGGGGCTCCTGCAAGGGCCCGCCCCCCCCCCCCCCCCAGCACTACCCACCTCCCTTTTCCGGCCACACACCATAGCTCCTGGCTCTCTCCCTTAGCAGACCCCGCTCGCCCTCTCTGACCTTACACAACCTTGGGGCTTAGCCAGCCCTAGCTCACTTGCTGGCCCAGGGCTGGTCTGAGAGGGAGGAACACAACAGCTGGGGCTTCCTGGGAGCCCCTCAGTAAAGGCCCCTCTCAGCCACGCTCCTTCTCTCCTTTAAGGTCCCTCTGTGTGCCTGTTCCCTCTGCTCTACCAGAGAGTGCCTCTACATGCTGTCCAGCCATGACATCGAACACCATCCCACCTACCGGGACCTACCAGCCAGCAGGGTGGTGGGGACCCCCGAGCCTGGCCTGGGAGCTGGAGCACCCCAGGACCCTGGGGGGACAGCCCGGGCCTGTGAGGAGTACCTCAGCCAGATCCACAGTTGCCCCACATTGCAGGATCGCATGGAAAAGATGAAGGAGATCGTGGGTTGGATGCCCTTGATGGCTGCACAGAAAGATTTCTTCTGGGAGGCCCTGGACATGCTGCAGAGGGCTGCTGGAGGGGTTGGCCCGGGCCCCTCAACCCCTGAGAGCTGAGCCCCTTTCCTAGTCTTACCCCTGGAGGGAGAGTCTGGCCCTGGGCCAGGAGCTAAGGAGAGTGGGATGGTAGCAATAAACATTGTATGTGCACATGGGGAGGGGTGGGAATTGCTAGGCTTGCCAGGGTGGGCAGGGAACCATTTTGTAAAATGTTCAGGGGGCTGCCCGGGAGGGACCCCCAACCTGACTATCATGGACAAGAGATTTGATGGGCAAATAGAATAAAAGGCTGAAGTGAGGCCCTGTTTGGAACCCTGGGGCCTGGGAGGAAAATAAGGCAGGGGATGGGGGCCCCAATGCCCCCCAATCAGGAGGGCGATGGAAGGCAGGGGGATGGACGAGGAGGCAGAGAGAGCAGAAGTGGCTCAAGCATTCAGGTGCTGCTGAACTGACCACCTGAATCTTAGAGCTCTCTTTCCCCTCCCACTCTTGGGGGAGTGGTCCAGGCTTCTTGACTTGAAGTCCAAGCCCCACCTTCTGGAATAATGCAGTCAACATATGCTACTCGGTCCCCTTATGGATCCTCTGTCTGTCAGACTTACTCCCATCCTGAGGGGGCCACCTGCTTCTGACCTCGGTCCCTGTGAAGTCAGCCCCCTCCTCCCCTCTGTTTAACCTTCCTTCCCTCACTTTCTCCTCCATCCTCCTCCTCACTAAGAGGGATGCTCCCTTTATCCACATCTAACCCACTCCCGGATCTCCAAATATTTGGGAGGGAAAATGGGCGGGCAGAAAAAATTTTCTCCTTGGCCTAGTCTGGTCCAGGGATGCAAAGAAGACAGTAGAAATTTGAAGCGGAAAATCAGCTGGAGCAGGGGGTGGTCAGGAAGGGGGTGAGTGACTAGTTGTTGGGGGTCTAGGGAAGGACTTTCTACGGGTGCCGAGGAGGCAGGCATGGGGAGGATCATGAGGAAGGACCAGAGGTTGTGTTCACAGGATGCTTGGGTACTGGACACAGCAGGCTTCCAGATGACATTACTTGATGCCTGCATTACAGCTGAGGGTTGATGCTCCCTCTGCCCTTCGTTGCTCCACCCCCTACTTAGGTCAATATTTATGTGTCCTAGACCTAGAGAGGCCCCTGGACTCACCACTGTCCCAACTGCACTCTCCCTGTCCCGCCTTCCCCACCGCCCGCCCCGCTGGCCAGTCCCCACGCCCACACACCCGAGGCTGCCTCATCTGGCACTGATTATCCCTGCTGCTGCTGCTGCCGCTGCTAAACTCAGCTGCTGCCTCGGTCTCGAGGACCCCAGCGCCTCTCCCCCCGGCCATGCTGCCTGCTGCCACTGCCTCCCTCTTGGGGCCCCTCCTCACTGCCTGGGCCCTGCTGCCTTTCGCCCAGGGCCAGACCCCCAACTACACCAGGTAGGTCTCTTGGCACCTTCCAGATAGCTTGAGTGAGCTTCAAAAGCCCTGATTCTTGGGGGTTTTGCCTGTGGATCCTGTGGATCCTTTCACTAACACACCACCCCCCCCAGATTTCCCACAGCCCCCACCCTCCCCCAGGCCCCAAGTTCTCCCTCCCTGCTCCAAGACCACTGTCTCCAGCGGGGCACCACTAGCCACCATTCCTCCACCCTTTGTCCCCTGCCCTCTAAGTTTCCCCATCCTCCCAGACCCTTGCCCCCCACCATGGAACCTGAGAGCTCCAAGACCTTCAACTTGCCTGGTATCTGGACATCTGGATTCCAGGAGGGAATTAGAGATGGTGGGGGAAGCGAGTGGGAGACTTGGGAACCAGATACTCAAGTAGTTAGCAGGAACAGGAGCAGGGCAAAGGTTGGGAGCTGGGGGACCCTGGTCTCCAGGTTCAATATGAGGGCCATCACTGCTGCTTCTCATCTCCCCGCCCCCTCCCCCCCCCCATGGCCTCGTGGCTGTGTCCACATCTGGAAGTAGTTAGGCGGCTCCTGTCCCCGACTGCCAGGCAGGGCGCGAGGGGGGAGAGTGAGGAACAGCCCGAGGAGGATTCCGGGAATTCCTGTTGGGGTGGGGGTGGGGATTGGGGGGTGTTGCAGAGACAGCCACATGTTCCTGATCCTCTCAATCCCAGCCTGGCTGGCTGAAGCTGCCCCAGACCCCCTTTCTCCCTCATCCCCCTGGCTTCCCTCTCTGGCCCCTCACCCTCATTACCCTATCCTTCCCAAGCTCTCCTCCACTCATGGCTGCCCCCTCTTCTGTTCTCCAGACCGGTGTTCCTGTGCGGAGGGGATGTGACTGGGGAGTCTGGTTACGTGGCAAGTGAGGGTTTCCCCAACCTCTACCCCCCTAATAAGGAATGCATCTGGACAATAACGGTGAGAAAGACCCTCCTTCGCTACCCCCTTGTTGAAGTCTCTGAGGCCTGACTGCTAAGAGAACCCGGGTCCACCCAGCCCCTGCCGCCCTCCTCCCTGCACCACTGCGCCCAGGGAAGTCCAGGCCCCCTCCCCTCTTCACTGATGGCAGCAGCGCCCACAGTAACATGTGGCAAAGTGTCCTCACACCTTAACTCCAGGCCTGCTCTTCTACTCCCAGTTTTATTTCTGGTCCTTGAATCTCCACAGACCCCAGGGCTTGTCCCCTGGGCAGTGAGCTCCTGCAGAGCCCAGGCCCTCTGCTCTGCTCCCTGATGGCGTCCCTTCCTGTTCAGG